TATAGAAAAACAAACTGTCCAGATGACCTGACTGCGAATTATTGGATGCATGCACATGGTTTAATAAATCGTATTTTTTTCATGTTACGAGTTCCTAGTCAGTTGATACCTTGTTATTGAGCAATTTATAAATGTAGACATTCTACTTGCTACACAATCCCTTTACCTGTTTGACCAACACCTGCAGGTCCCCAGCACCACCTTTGTTCTTCTTCAGCTCCAAACGAGGGATTCTGGAAACAGCTTTAAGGATGGTGCCTTCAAATCTTTCTTTGCTGATTTCGTACATAGAGTCGAGGAGCCTCATCCTGTAGCCGAATGGTGTCCACTGTAATTAGACAGACAGAGGTTTTATTGATCCACCACACAAAATAAATGCAAACCCCAGAACAAACTAAACCGGACTTAAACTTCACTCAAACCATTAATTTAACCTGACTTCCTGTAAATCTAACCCAGATCATTTACACCTGATGTCTCATCCTCACCTTGTTTTTGGCAGCTGCCAAGGCTACAGCCACGTCCTCCTTCTTCTTCCTCGCTGACTCTCTCTCATGCTCTTCCTCTTGCTTCTTCATCTCTTCTTCCTCTCGTTTCCTCCTCTCCTCCTCCTCCTCTTTTTTTCGTCTCTCTTCCTCCCCACGTTTCTTCTGCTCTTGCAGGATGATGTCACTACCTTTATTTACCTTCATCAGCCTGATTGCTCTCTTACTGGATTTTACCTGCAGGAACAAATTCATTTTTGTGTCATTCTGGCAGGCCTGTCTAAATCACGTTCAGGTCTAACAGGCTCACCGTGGTTGTTGTGAACTCCACCTGTTGGCCAACATCATCAGCTACAAACTCTGTATCGCTGAAGTTCTCATCAACATCAAAAGGAATCTCGCCATGCTCGTCAGACTGGATGATGCCTTCCTCATTGCCTATTGAGGCGATGATGCCCTGAAGGACAGAAGACCTCAAAGACCACACTACTGACAAGATTCAACATCCTAGTCATATCTGTTCAGAAGAACTATACAGGAAACCTTGAAGACTAGCAGCTTTCAAAAGAATACTTGGAGGATTCCTCAGAAGCTGGCAGGAGATTAAGGACTCCTTGGAAGAATCCTGGCTGGCACCAGTCAAAGGAGGAGGTTGGTACCCGTCAACAGAATCCTTATAGAACTCCTCAGAGGCTGGCACCAGTCAACGGAATCCTTGGAGGAATCCTCCTAGAGCTGTCATTTCTAACTCGAACCCGAAACCTGGCCCGGACCGACCCGGATTAGGGCCGGGCCGTTATAATGTCAGTGTTTCCCCTAGATAACTTGCCATGGCGGGGCGCTCATCTTGTCCGTGATTTTTGTCCGGGGGTGTGTGTGTGTGTGTGTGTGTGTGTGTGTGGGGGGGGGCTGGAATGGAGACTCGTCCTAAGCTGCGCAGCCCGCTGTTTAAACCAACAGTTTTGGGGGGCACAGAGATAGCCGCGTGCTGTTTGTACTGACAGCTTTAGAGCAGGGTGTGTGAGAGGAGAGATACAGAGACATATGTCAGCCGCGCGCGGTCTGAACCGACAGCTTTTTTGGGGTCGGTGCGGGGGAGAGAGACGCACATCTGAGCCATGCGCTGTTTGTACAGACAGTTTTCAAGTGGCGGGGGTGCGTTCAGCGTGAGGGTTCAGCGTGAAGGAAGAGGCTGCTTTTAGCTTTTTAGCTATTGCACCTGCATTGTGAGCCGCTAGTTTAGCGTTACGTCAGTGCAGACAGGTGGGTGGGGGTGGAGGGTGGGGTTTGGTAGACGGGGCACTCGGTTCTGTTGACGGGGCGGGGCGCCCCGCTTGTATAATGGTAGGGGAAACAATGAATGTGATTAATGGACGGGCCGTGCCAGTCTCGGGCTTTTAATTAGGTCAGGATCAGTCGCAATCCAATTATATGATAACATGGCCTGCCATACATTCATCAGCCACATGCAGCCATTTCACTGCAAGCTGACCAGCCTTGAAAGAGGTAAAAAGTTCAGTTAAGTTTAAGATGGGACTCTACTGCTAGGAAATGATCCATCACCCAAATGGACGTTCATTCAGCCGCTGCACTCAGCTGACACACGCGGCCGATTAGCCAATCAGGTGAGATCCCAAAAGTCCCATGTGTCAGAGCTGTCCGCGTGTCTCAGTAATTCAGAAAAATGCAGTCAGAAACGGGGTTTAAATGCTTTATGGCCATGAAAGGGCAAACACCTCTCAGCTCCAAATCGTCTGCCACGTTTATTCAGCTGCGCGTCCCCAACCGTTAATAACTGTCAGGTTTTTTTCCGGGTTTGGACCTGCAATTATTGTTAATTCGTCAGGTCAGGTGAGGTTCGGAAATTATGGCTGCGTGCTGAGGCCGGGTCGGATCAGATTTTTTTGGGCACGAATGCAACTCTAAATTCTCCAAAGCTGGCAGCAGTCAAAGGAATACTTGAAGGAATCCTTGGAGGCTGGCACCAGTCAAA